TAGCCCATCTTTGACCCCATTGCTCCCATCTCATTACCCATCTGCTCTTTCCTTGCTCCCTTGCACTATTTCATCAGGCGACACAGCCGGATATAAAACTACAAAATGCGTGGCGTTCAAATGAGGAGCGCGCCTCATTAAAGCGCACACGGTCTTTGGGGCTATTACCAAAAGACGTGCAAGCTCACAGCGCAAAACGCAATTGCGGCAAAAAAGATCCAAAAACGAGTAAAACGAAAACATCAACCACATTTTAAAAATTAAAAAAATGCAGGCACAAAAGGAAATAAAACCGAAGTTTTAAATACCCTTCGGTCGCCTGAAACTGGTGCACTGTTTTAAGAGGCAACAAACCAGCAGCATGCAATTAACCAACTTAACTAATTAACTTAAAATTCGGTTTTTATTTAGCCCAAAGTTAACCTTTGCTTTTTAAGTCAGTCTCTTAAAATATATGCCATTTCTAGGGTATATATTTATGCAATTATCGCCAACAATTAAGATTTGGCTGCACAATCAACTTTCCTTTTTAATTAGCTCTTCTATCTCAATGTAAGATTTTTGTTATAGTTGCAAGCAGGCTGTCAAAATGATTCGCTGCTCGGTTCCGGCTCCGGCTCCGGCTTCGGTTCTGATGCATAAACTGGAAACTTTCAGGTAAAGGTTATGGTACTACATGGACTTTAATAGTCAGTTCCTCTAACAGCTTCTTGAAAATGTGGATTTTCTTAAACACAATTGGCAAATTTGCGTTTCTGATTTGACACTCTGAAAGATCGGAAAGCATATCTAGTCTAGAACTTGGAAGGTACTTTTGTTCTTGAATATATATTTTGGTTTTGTGATTTGTTTTTTAACATTATATATATATTGTTTTGTTATGTGATTTATTTTCATTTTTATTAGTGAACTCTGATTTTAACTGAACTTCGTTTTTAAAGTTGAAAGCGCTTTCAAATTAGGGTTTTTAGTTTTTTCTTGATGTTATAGTGAATGTAATCTCTTTCGGTTAGTATAAAGAACTGCAGCGTCCTTCTGGGCAACTCGTCGTTGCCGTCGTCGTCGTCACAGGGCTGCGCGCATGCGCACAACACATGCCGTGGGCAGTTGTTGTGGCTGCTGCTGCTGCTGTTGTTGTTGTTTTTTGTTGTTGTTGCTGGTTGCTTTTGTTAGTGCTTGCTGCTGCCTTTGCCACTGCTGCAATAAACGTCAAAATGCGGCCCATTGCTGTCCATTTCATCAACGTGTGAAATAAATCACTCAAAGTGCTGCAGATCCATTAAGGGCACCAGGCAATGAGCTGAGCAGCGAGTCGCAGTCGCTGCTGAAGCGCACCCGTCGTCATCGTCATCGTCGTCGTCGTCGTCGTTGTTCACTTTTGTGGTAAATACATTTTTAGCATTTTGTCTGCTGATACCTTTGGGTGTTGTACAAGACGGCGACTGTTGCCAACAATAAAGACGCAAGCAGGCAGGCAGGCAGGCAAGCACAGGCTGCATGCCACTGGCCACGCTTGGCGTTTTTTTGCGATCAGCTTCTTCTTCATCTTTTTGTTGCTGGGCTCTGGCTGCTTTTTGTTTTGTTTTTTTTTGTTTTTGTTGGCCATGTCCGCCATCCGCCATCCGCCATCCGCTTTTCGCATCCACATTGGCCCATTGCATGCTGTTCACCTTTGGCAATTTCATTTCATGTTTGCAACTGCTGTCTGTCTGTCTGTGTGTCTGTCTGTCTGTCTGTCTGTCGGCTGTCTTGTCTTCATGATGATTTTTGGCGTGCTACGCGCAAGAGACTTCGAACACATGCAAAATGCATTTCAAATTACATTTCATTGCTTAAATTCAATTAACGGTACGACGCCGCCAAGAGTAACGAAATGCGAATTGCTTCCAAAAATATGTATAACGAGCGCCTGCTGCGCTTTCGTTCTCAACCTGCCACAGCTCAGAGTTAAAGGCGAAGGCCAGAAATAGTAGTTGTTGCTGGCCATTAACTCAAACTTAACTGAAACTCCAGCTCAAACTGCAACTGCAACTCAAGGCAAGGCATCGCAAGGCATCGCAAGTAATCAACAAACAAGTAGCCGCCTGGCGAGTAGGTAAACAGAAAGTTGATTGAAAGTTTTGAGCAAAGTGCAGCTGGGAAATGAAACCACACTAAGTGAGATACAACACAGCACGAGTGAGCTCTGAGATGTGTGGGAGCAACAAAAACAGGAGCAACAACATCAGCAACACCAGCAGCAAACACTGGCAGGTAACTAGCTTGAGCAAATAAACCAGCAGATTAAATGCAAAACAAGTTATCAAAAACGTCATAACTTGTTCCGCTGTACATGCCTACAGATGACTGATACTATTGCTGGAAATAACCTAATAATGGTTAGAAAATCTACAAAAAAGTTATGCAATTTGTTGATAATTTAAGCAAAATAAAAAAATAGTAAAAATAAGTCAAAAAGAAAGTTTATTCATTATTCTAATTAAAATTTAATAAAACAAACTTGCAAATAATTCATTTAAGAGTTCTAACTACTTTTTACTAATATCAATTAACCTTTTACCTGCTTAGAGTTTTACGCCCCAAAAATTATGCTATCTTAATTTTGTTGGAATTTTCATTAGCAATTATTTCGTGTCGCTATTCAATGAAAAATGGCCATTTACCGTCGCATTATTAATATTGATTTTAGTACACACACAAACACACACTCACACACAGACTTTACTTTGTGAAATTATGCACTTATTAGCAGAAATCAAGAATGTTGTTCAATCAAGCGGCTCAATTTGGCTTATTATTCATGTAAGTCCCTTGAGGCTTGGAAATTATATTTTTGATCTATTGTTGAGCACTTTGGTGACAATTTGTTATGTGCTCGGGCCATTTGTCTTTAAGTGCAGTTAATTGCCGCAATTTGCAACAAGAGCAAACGCAAATTATATTGCCGCCATTGAGGCATATAAATCTTATAGGAATTCTTTCAACTTAATTAGTTTTAATATCGTTCCACGCCCAAAACAAACCAAGGGCATAACTAACAATTAAGCTCGCATTGCTCATACGCAAGTTAACCACAAAGGGCATTTATGTATATACATATCGAAGTGTGTGCATATGTATATATTTATGTGATATAGATATCTGGTCATGTGTTTGTAAGCAAGTATGTCGCATAAATCTTAATTACGCTTCGTCGAGCGTAAATCATCATCAGCCGCAGCGCGTACTGGCCAAATTGATTCATGCATAGCGATTTCGCCACAAGCTCTTCAATGAAGAAGGAAGAAATTGTGCTGCAGCAGCAGCAGCTTCAGTTCGACTCTCAAGTAACTCTGACAATTTGGCGGCATTTTATATTATTATTTTCCTTATTCATTTTATGACCCACACAGACTAAGTGACGACGACTTTTCTGAACTTTGAATATGCCTCACCCAGTCAGCTGTGGCAGGAATGTTACTTTTTTTTATAGTACCCAGTTGAAAATATGCCTCATTCCATTAGCTTTTATGGCTGATAATTGTTGACAGTAAATCAAATGCATAACTGGAAATGAGAAATGCGAAACACGGAAAGAACTATTAAGGAAGGCATAACGAAGTCTAAGATACCGATAATGGTTGGCAATTGATGTGCAAGTGCATTAAGAACTAGATGAGAAGTAAGTTAAATAAATGCACTATGCAGACATGATTTCAGCTGAAACTGTTTCAAACTATACCATTTTTGAGCCTTACCAATAATATTTAATCGAATGAGCAACGAGCTCCATTTTGTTGTATATATACGGACAATAATACAAAACTATCCTGACCACTAATGGGTTAGGTCAGCAGCTGTGTCAGTCTAGTTGAGTATAATATAATTCTTTCATTTATATGTATATATATATTTTTTTTACAATTAGTTTTTTATGGCGCTGACAATTTGCAATCAAGTTCGTATGCAGTGCAATTCAGAATGTTAAAAAAAAGGTTTGTTACAAGTTGTAAAGATTAAATGTCCATTAGGCGTGCCGACGCACGTAGAACTTGTTTAGATGGCAGCAGCGTCAAAGCGAGTGGTGTGGAAGGCGTTGTGGCAGGGATGGCAGGGGTGGCAAGGAGGCAATGAAGCAATGAGGCAATTGCAGTAGTCAAACCACAAAATCGAGTCGAAGCGAACATGGCAGGCAAGCGATTTAAATGCGCGCAATGCAATCACTCAAATTGGCCAAAAGCAGCTGAACGTGCAGATGGCAACGGCACGAATATGCCTGAATTACATGAAATATTTTAATCCCAAAGATGCAGTTAAGTGCATCCATCAGCGTGTATTTAGTATTTAATAAATACGGAAGCGAGAACACGACGCGAACACACAGTCCTTGCCAATAGTAGTATAAAGTCAGCCACACAACTCCAGCTACATCTACCACTAACAGCAACCACTCGTAAAGAGGTATTTTAATTTATTTAAATTTTCTAGCCGCTCATATTACCAACTGCAATTTACAGACACTCAACGACAGGGCAGACAAACAGACGGACCAAATGGACCGACGGACATCCTTTTTGGTGTCTTGGCCAACTGGCGCACACGACTATAAGCTGCTGCTGCTGTTGCTGTTGCTGTTGCCGGTTTGCGACTTTGGCCAAAAGAAAAGTGAACATCCATTAGTTGTGCTAATGATGCGCAACCCACTTTGAGCCGCGATCCGCACAGAATCAACCAACCAACCAGCCAGTCAGCACCTCCTTAACTTGTTGTTTTTGTTGCTGTTGTTGTTTGTAGGAGAGTGTCCTGTTCTTTGCTCTCCTGTCCTGTCTGCTGGGCTTGTGGATTTATTTTGCTATTTTGAAACGCATTTGGCTCGCTGGTTAGTTGGCTTTAGCCCATAGCTTATGTATATGTGTGAGTGTGGCTAATGCAAAGTCAAAGTGGCTAAAATGAGCCACGCAGTGTGTAGTCCATTAGCCAAAGTGTACACTGTGAGAAATATTCAAATGACTTAATGGATATTCCATATGAGACCTGTCAGCAAGCCAAACTGTACATTTATTTAAAGATACACCTGTAAAAATACCACAAATTAATACACCAACACTCTGTCCATCTTTAAACTGAATACTTACCATTAATTGATTCAAATACAATTCATAGGGTATATGTCCGCTGATGGGATCTATTGCCACTGGCCACATTTCATCCATTTCCTCTTGGGTGAACGGTTCACCCTCCTCCATCATCAGTTTGCCAAAGCTCTCCTTGGTCAAATAGCCATTGTTCTCAAAGTCCAATATCTTGAAAGCTTCCAGAATTTTCTCCGGCGGTGCTGGCTCCATTCTGACAATCGATTTTGATAGACTCACAATCTCTTTAGCAAAAACAGAGAAACTTACTTGCGTTCCATGAGCAACTGCGAGACATGTGGCAGAAATTTGGTTAGATGCACCACGCCGCTTGTCTCCTCCGTTTCGGTGGCCGAGATGACCTCGTTGACCTCCTGCTCGGTGGGCACACAGCCCAACAGCCTCAAAACTGTGCCCACCTCACGCACATCAATCAATTTGTCGCCATGATGATCGAATACACAAAATGCATCCGAAATGCGTTTCTCCAAATCGTTATTGACTAGTTGTGGAGATTTTAAACCATATTTTATAGTTTGATGTTCAATTATTAGGAAGAACACTTACAGTCTAGATCCATTCTATATAAATCGTATACTGGTTTTCACAAAATAATTTTTCAAGCAGCGTTTTCAACTGTTGTTTGTTAGATCAATATTTGAAGTGAGACTGACAAAACTGTTGTCAGTGTTGCCTGGTGACAATTGGGTCTGGAAGAGAGAGAGAGAAAGGGAGTTTGAATGAGATAGGGAGAGAGAGAGAGAGAGAGAGAGAGTCAAGGAGTAAATTTTCTAAAAATTTAAGAGCAAGTTTTGCAGTAATTTTTAAGGATAAATGTGAGTACAATCAAAATCACTATTAATTCTTATATCGAGCATACTCCTAATAGTCGATTATATATTTTATGCAATATTAAAGAAAAGAAAAATAGCTATTTTAATAAAAAATAGATTATGCTTTATTTATTTGGCAGGTGCAATGCAACTTATCAATTGAATCCAAACGAGTCCAAATACATCGCAATAAAAGATCAAGTTATGAAATTGGTAAGGATCAACAAATCCTGAGGTAAACCAATAAATATGATCAAAGTAAGTTCTTTTGAAATATTTTACTATTTAAATGCCTAACGATAATGATTTTTTCTTATTGTGTGGCAACTTTGTAGTTTCAATTGCAATTTGCGAAGCGAGACTTACCTTTCTAAGCTAAGCTTGTATGGCATACGGAAGTATGAAACCGTAAGCAGGCCATAATACTCCAACTGGATAGAGCAACAAGTGCATTTTAGAATTATGCTCACTTTAATGGAGATTACAGCAGATCCTCAAGGAGGTGGGGCAGTGCTGAAAAGCGTATGCCACGCATTGAATTCGATTAAAGCAAAACAAAAAAGAAAAATAAAACAAAATATAAAAAAAAAGGAAAAGGTTGCAATAGGCAACATGACACTACTTTATTCATTCACGCTAATGCGTGTCGTGTACAACACGCTTCGAGCCACTTGAGCTGTGCGCACTTGCGTTCAACATTTTCTTGCAACAAACACGTACACACACACACACACACATACAGCTGCATATCGGCTGGGCCATCTAGTGCTGGGCTGGTTTAGGTCTGCTAGGCCAGCTTTTGGCCATGGCTACTGCCATAAACACTAAAAGTGTTCGTCATTTGCTGTTCCAGATCCAATTAACCATTTTGATGCATTTGCCTCCATTAAGTTTTTTTTTTCTTTTTCATTTTCTCTCTCACTCTCCGTTCCTCTCCCTCTCTCTCTCTCACTCTGCGGCTCTCGACCCTTTTCGCTTAGGCCTTCGTTGTTGACTGCCTTTTGCAATTTCGTTGCACAGACTTACAACATGATCGGAAGTTTGTCTTAACCAAGCCTTGTCGACGACGTGTCCGTTGTAGCTGGTGGTCTTGTGTAAAGCACTTTGTAAATGTTGGCATGATTTAAGCCAGGCTCTTAGTCTCTTTACTCAGACATTTGCTCTTAGTTTGTTAGTCTATTAGGCAAGCGATTAAAATTTAAATTGAAGTCGAGCCTCGGCCTAAATTGCGATCCAAGCCACCCTTTACCACTTCTCCTGCATGCATCTAGCAACACGCCCAGTTTTAACATCCGCTTGCCATTTGGTTTTGTCATTAGCATATCGAGAGCGGACTGTGTTCATCTGTCATTTTCGACACCTGCCACAGACAGGACGGCAAGTTGTCAGCCTGTCCCACTTCCTGTGGGGTTCCACATGAAATTGATGCTGGTGGTGCTGCTGCTGCTGCTGCTGCTGCGGCTGGTTTCATTATGGCTATTTAAGGGCATTATTCTTAGTTCCGTTTTCTTTTGCAGCTTTATGATTTCCGCGGCCCTTGAATATTGATTTCATAATTAATTTAAATAGTTTCATTAAAGTATGAAGTGCACTTCATTTGCCAATGTCTATACTTAAATTCCTTATAATTGAATCAGACTTAAAATGTGTACTTTTTCCCAACTGATGGCTTATTATTTAAGCCGCTGTTTAATTAAAATCTCTTGATTGATTCATATAGGAATTGGGGTTGTCATTTTGCTCTCTTAATCTTTGCTATGGAGAATGAGTTAATAGGATACAGAATTTCCTTTTACGGATATTTATGTACACATTTTCAATGGTCTTAACTAATTTAAAATCTTGCATTATGAAAGGGAAATTTCAATGTTATTATTTATTATGGTTATTATCTTATTTCTGATTTTTGAAAGTAATTTGAATAGCACTTATTCATATCATTATTTTGATTAAATGCTAATCTAAATCCTTGACCAATATAATCAAAGAAACACATTCTAAAAATACATTAAACTAGACTAGGCAATTACTATTCAAATCAGTGCTTTAACAAAAGGCAATTGTCAATAACAAACAATAATAATTATAATGGAAATATCTATATTTATATTTGCATACGCCCATATTAATGCATACACGTTAAAAAGACCAGTTTCCCATTCAAATCATGGGCCCTTTTGCAAAAGTATTTTTCCATTAATATAAAATGAATAATATTTTTTTCCCTATCTATTTTTGATTCGAATTGCTTTACAATTCGCTTTGTGAATGCGTGTGTGTGTGTGTAGATTGTGGTAATTAAATGGAATTTAATAAACATAAACATGCAAATAATGAGCGCTACCTTTCACAGCAGTCAAAACGGAAAAACTGTCTGAAAAAGCTGGCCCAGAAACTTTTGTTGAATTAATTAGAGTAAAAAAGAGGCAGCCAGACAGGCGGACAGACTAACAGAGATAAACAGCAGCAGCAGCCACAGATTGTTTTTTTCTTACCCCTTTTTGGTTTTTTTTTTTCTGTTCAATTTTTGTAAACGTCTTGGTAAAAAACAGAATTCAATTCAAAGGCAAATGATATGAAAGAATTGATTAATAATCATAGCGAAAACCACAAAAGAGCTGCCTCATGAATGGAGGCTCAAACGGAGGCTCAGACTGTGCCACAGTTTGCGGACTGTAGACTTGTAGACGGAGACTGCGGACGGAGAGTGAGGCTGAGACGGTGGCTACTGGCCAAAAAAGCGCTGACGCCATGCTCGCTCCAACTTTAGCTTCAACTTCAGTTTTAGCCAAGGCCAATTGAGTGTACTGTAGAAAAAGAGTTGGTTAAATGTAAAATATCTTCAAGTCTTTTGAGGAATCTTAATATTATTATATATTTATTTTAAGGCTAGATTCTCAAAACTCTGAAGGTATATTTCTGACAATGTCCTTTACAAATTGGCATTTAAATCTTTTGGTGAATAGTAGTTAAATTTAACTACAAAATAAATATTAAATAAAAATGACAAAGAATCGATAAATAGTTTACCGTGCATAAGCCTGGGCGTAGCAGCAGCTACACATGCTACAACTGCGGCTTTTGTTGTTGTTATTGTTGTTGGTGTTGCTGTTGCTGTTGCTGCTGTGCTCCACATTCTCTGACGACTCTGGCGTCCAGTCATGTTTTGTTTTGTGGCCGAGCTTGCCTCGAATCGACTCCACTCGACTTGACTTTGATTCAATTTCCATATGAAAACATCGATTTGCGTTTGGTTCTCTGCTGCGCCCGCGTCGTTGTAATCAAAGTGTTGTTTATGGAACACGTCCGGCGTGTTGTTGTTGTTGTTATTGTTACTGCTGCTGTTGTTGTTGTTTGTTGTTGTTGTTGCTGTGGTTGTTGGCTTGTTGGCTTGGCTAAAAATTGCTTAGGGCAACAATTGCGCGCAACGTCTGAAAAATATGTAGCCAGCGATTACATTTGCCTATTGCATGGACAGACAGAGATAGACAGAGAGAGATAGAGTGAGAGAGAGAGAGAGAGAGAGAGAGGCATACACAGTCCGGCCACAGCAAGTTATGATTGAGTTCTAATGAGTTGAGAAAAATGTATCAAGGAAAACCAGTTCCCGGAATCGCAATTAGATAAGTGGGTTTCATGCCTCCAACCATGAACTATACAACAGCATGAAAGCGCAACAAGCGAAACCAACAATTGTTGTCCCAAGTCGCCAGCTTGAAGCTAAACCACCAATCCCCAAACACCCCGTTGAATCGCCAACTCTTCTCTTGTGGTGGTAGCTGGCTGCTCTTTGTGGCCTGTCAGGAAATGGAAATTGTTTTCCATTGAACGGCGGACAAACGGGACAGCAAATAGGCTGCTTGCCAGCACCGCACAGTAACAATGTGTAGCACATTTTCTATAATAAGGCGTTAAAAATATTTTGCAATTTAATTTATTTTTATTCTCTTTTGCTTTTCTGCTTTTCTGCATTTCGGTGGATAGCGCTGGCAAAATTACCATATGTATCGGGCAACAAGGAACTCGTTAAACTGGTCGCCACTTCGAGTGAAAATTTGCAAAGAAACTTGTCCGATTGCCGAGGAAAAATCAGGTGTAGAAAATATGTTAGCAAATTTGAGAACATTATGAAATTGACGGCTTAACTGAGGAAAATGCTGTTGCAATGAGGAAAACAGATTGCCTGACATGTTATCACAAGAAGTTATTATTATGCGTAATGCACTATAGAAGATGCCCCCAAAACTGTAAAGTATAAGAAATCTAGAATAGAAGTATAAGCCAATCAAATATAGCCGTGCCTCTTTGATCTGCAGGATATTTAAGATCTATCTGCTAAAGATAGCCTTTGTTTCTTAAAAATATTCCTTAATAATTTACTTTTAATCTGACTTCATATTTGTGTTTTTTCTTGCAATATTTCTCTTGGGAATATCTTTTAAATAGTCGTTTGAACTTCTCTCAATTTTTCGTTCACATTACAACAGCCTATCAAATATTAATTTCTCTAGACCCGTTTAAGCATAGCCATAACATTTTTAGTCATTATGTAGCCATAAAAGTAAACGGCTCTAAGCCAATTTCTGCACTAGTTTACGTTCGATTAATAGGCGTGAAATATTAATGCGCTGAACACGCCTGGTAGCCACAGACACAAAATATACAAAACACAACAAAACAAAACCCAAAAAAAAAAGGAAAGGTCTCTGCCGTCTCAATTGCTACTCTTGCTCTGCCAGTTAATTGGTTGGCCCCACGTACCGCCACCTCACCCTCGCCCCGCTCTCTCTCTCTCTCTCTAGA